TTAATAAATTAAAAGATATAATAATTAATTAAAATTAAAAAAAATATGATATTAATATTTAAGAAAATGAAAAAGAAAATACTTATATAATTACAATTCATACCATAAAATAAAAAAAAAAACTTATCAACTAAGAAATCTATTAACATTTTTAATTATAATGGTCACCTATTATAATTATATTTAATACCATTTAATTCATAAATTAAATTTGAAATCAAATCAATTATATTGCAATTAGTTTCAATTAAAGTTTAACTATTTATATTTACTTATTATATACATTTCATTATTAAAAAATACCTTGCAATTAAATAAATCAAAATTTCTTGAACAACATTTATCAAAACCCAAACACAAAATGAAACAAATTTTTCATAGTCCATTTCATATTTTACAAGCATTCAAGTAAAATTTACTTATAAAAAAATATTGAAATGAAAATTCACAATTCATTCCTAAAATCTGGATTATTCACCTAGATCTAACTTTCTGTTATGGTACCATATTTCCAATTGAATGTTCTTTTTCCCTTTTCATTTCAAATTCTAAACAACATGTAAGATGGAGGAAAGGAATTGGTTTGAGGAAGAAGAGAAGGGAAGCTTCATGAACACAAACCCAGAAATGCATTAAGGTGAAGCAAGTTATTTGGGTTCATGAACACGAACTCAGATCTAGGTTCGTGAACCCAAAGTTGGGTTCATTAACACAAACCCAGATCTGGGTTCACAAACATGAACCCAAAGAAAAAGATGAAATGAGAGGGTAGAAAAAATCTGAGTAGGGGAAGTAGACAAAAAAAGAAAAACCTGAAAAAAATAAAAGGAGGAAACGATTGGAGGAGAGGAAGATAATGGAGAACAATTACTATAATAATGGAGGAGAAGGAGATAATGGAGGAGAACGGTTGTTGGAATAATGGAGGAGAGGGAGAAGTTAATTGCTATAGTAAACTGGGTAAGAGGGGAGTTTATGTGATACTAAGGGCTATTTATGTGATATTATAAAGGTAATAAATATAATTATAGGATCATATATGAAGTTATATATTTGACTCTTCAAATGAAAAATTTTAAATTATTGTGAATTCCAGCAAAGAGTCGAATCTATGAATGTAAATTCGACTCTTATGGGCACTAGAGTCGACTCTATAATAAAAAGAGTTGACTCCCAAATTCCATAGAGCAACGAAACATTTTGATGTAGAATAGAGTCGACTCTTTACAAAAGAATCGACTTTTATAACTATAGGGAAATAAACACTTCTCCATTCAAAGTCGACTGTTTTTCTTCGAAGAGTCAACTCTCAAAATATAGAGTCGACTCTTTGGCACAGGATTTGATTAAAACTACGACAATTCCAGTTTTCCCCATTTTCCCTCTCTTTCCTATTCGACTCTCTGAGAAACCTAACCCTCAAACTAGCCAAAATCCTCCCAAATTTCACCCAAATAACTCACCCAAACACAACCCCACACCATTTTCAACTGATTCCTCTAAGATTCGTGCATTATCTTCCAAAATGGTGAGGACTAAAAGAATTGTAAAGAAACCAAGGGGGCAGGCGACAAGCACTTCTGGAAGGCATCGCAGGGTTGAGCAAAGTCTTGAGGAGAGCGGTGAAAGCACAGACATCGAGTAGGTATTTCAACCCAATAACCCTTGGAACGTTGTATCTCGAAATGCTATAGAAGCATATAATAAATTAGGAAACAGGAAAGTCATTTATGGGTTTAGAGTAGTTTTGGAAGATATATGCAAAGGGGGGGCTGCATTTAAGAGAAATGTTAGATGCAATGGGATGGACTGAATTAGTAAGTAGAAAGGTGAAGGTCTACCCGCAATTGATAAAATTTTTTTATGCAAATTTGAGTGATTCGAAGGATGGAGGGTATAGAACAACTGTTCTTAAAAAAAACTTTTGAATTTGATGTTGAAACCATAAATGATGTTTTACATTTTCCAAATGATGGAGTCATGGAATTGAATGCATTTACAAAGGAATCAGTAAAGAAATTTATGATGGGGGATGAGTGGAATGAGGGACAAACATTAACCATTCACCACTTGAATTTGGAGAATCGGTTAATGTTTTAGATTTACAATCACATAATTTTGCTAAGGCAAGGTTCTTTTGGGAAATTTATTGATCCAGATTATGTGTGGTTTGCATATATTCTTGATCAGAGGTGGGTCAATTTAGGACACCATATTATGAGACAAATGGTGTATTATAGGGGTAGATCAATACTCGCACTAGCATATGGCACTCTTATGGCATTACTTATGGAAAATACGTGTAATACCCCAAAATTTCTAGAGCATGAAAGTGTGAGTTAGGGACCTAATTGTGAAGAAATATTATTAATGAACTTAATGGTAAAAATTTTCAAAGTTCAGGGACTTAAAAGAAAGGCAATTAGGGTAAGGATCAGCTGATATTTTTATTTCCTTTTCTTCCCAGCCATACACGTTTCTGCTCTACTCTTCTTCTTCGTGGTAGCCTGACAAGCTTTTCCCCCCAAGCCACCGACCTCCATTTATTGAGGAAATTGGTAACAAAGCTTGATTTTTCCCTTTCTTTTCTTGTTAAAGAACTGATTTTAGGACCTAGAACCCTCCCTTTGAAGAAGAAATTTCCAGATCTGCTCTCCCTTCCTCTTCCCTTCGGTCCGTGAGTCTCTGCTGGTTGGGGGTGCGATTTCCTGGGCTTTTTGGTAAGCAACAACCTTGGAATTCATCTTTTCTCCCTTAATTTGGCTTAGGTTTACTTTGAATTGTGTTTTGGTTCTTGAATTTGGTAGCCGCGAGTTCCCCTATAGAATTGCCGTTTGCCTCTTTCCCCCGCCAGGTCTGGTTCTACAGCTGGAAAAATTCTGGTATGTGGTAGCTTCTCTAAGTCCAAATTTCACCCATTAGTTGCTGAATTTAACCTGTGTAATTGTTGCCCTGTACATTGAATTTTCTGCTGAAAATATGGAAGAATTTGGCAGCATTTTAAACGTGTTTTTTTAGCTTAATTCATGTAGAAATAAACCTATTTTTGGCTTGAAATTAGCTGCTGTTTTGTGCGGAAAATCCTGCTGTTTTGCCAAAATTTCACTGTTCACGCGCGCAGCTACTATTCACGCAGAAAATTCTACAAATTGCTGCTGCGTTTTTCTACATTTTGCTATTGTTTTTCCTTTCTTTTTCAGTCTGTTCTGCTCTGAAAATCTGGTGAAATATCCTTTTTCTGGTATTTTAGTTTGCTGTAATTGAATTATGGAAATATCAGTTACTGTTCATGCATACCGTTCATACATTGAGTTTTAATTATTTGGAGTAGAAAATCCCGTGTGTTAGTGGTAGTTTTGCCAGAGACAATAATTGAATAAAGCCCTATCCCTCCATTCTTGTCTGTAAGTATGGGTATTAATTCTTGGATATTTTGATTAGGTTCCTGATCCTTCTGTCAATTTAGCACTGAGATCGAGTCTTCGGTTTTATGCGAGTGAGGTAAGTAACTTATGGTAATGCCCTGGATTTAAGGTAAAGCTTTTAAAAGCAAATTTTTGATGGTTTTGAAATGGTGGCGGGACTAAAACCGTTTTACACGAGCATGACTGATTTGAAGTGAAATTTTTATGCTTTTCATTAAATTGAGCATGTCTACTTGAAATTTAATTGATTGTTCCGATGATCTGAAAGTGAATGGTGAATTATGATTTTTTGTTAACTTCTGCCTATTTTGTCTCCGATATGGTCATGTTATTCGTGTGCTCGATAGTGGGAGGTTTATAAACGCTAGCACATGTCGACATGTTATTGATAGAACCGGTTCGTTTCTGTTATCCTGCTAGTTGGTTTATACACTAGTAAATCGTGTGTCCGTCAGTGAGAGGTTTATAACACTGGTCATGACCTATAGAGGAAACGTCTATTCCATTCTCGTACTATATCCGTTTTTCTTATTACACTTGTTGGCATGCTATGAGTTTAATTACGGGCTATCCATATTTACTTACTGAGTTATCTCACCTTGTTTTTCCTTACCCACCATTTTAGGTAGTGTGACCCAAGACAAGGAAATCAAGGGGAGTGACGTGGTAGAAGGCTAGCCACTTGAGATTTGACATAGATTCTAGATATATATATATATACCACACTCTTGTAAGTTAGATTTTAATTGGAAATTTTATGGTATCAAAACTGATTTTGTTGAGTAAGTTCCAAGCCTTGTGCACTTGTGGGACCCATCTCATAAGTGTATGGCGTCTGCCACGTTCCCAAATTTGGGTTCTGAGGGTGTGACAATACGGGTGTTGATTTGCGTGGTATGGAGTCCTAAGACCTATACAGTCACAAGCTTCTTAACAAGAGTTCATTGAACAAAATGGGGTATATATTCAGTGCAAGAACAAATTCTTGAGAAATGAAGCAAAAAAGGAGAAGAGGAGGACAAGAGGATAAAGGTGAGGGGTTTGATGATGAAGAACATGCCGAAGAAATTGAAGCAGCAGGTCCCTCACAAGTTGCTTCATCTCAAGTTCCTCAAAGATTAACCACACAGAAAGGAATGTAGCTCATTCTTAAGAGACTTCCACGGATTGAATCGAAGCTCGATGATCACATTTGCAAGTGTCAGATGGCAACACCTATAGGTCCTCAAGGGACAAGAGGAGATCTGTCTACTGCTGGCACATCCTCCGAACAGCAACCCACTGATCCCTTTTCACATCCAGAAGCATAAATCCTCCTGTTGCAGTTGTTGATGCCTATTAAATTATTGTTTTAGTATTTGAACACTCTTTGGAAGGTTTTCTTAATGTTTTGACTTTTTAGATTTTTGAATATGTACATAAAATGTTGACATTAGATACAGTTTAATTTAATGCAGTTTTTAACATCAATGAGCATTCATAATTGTGATGAATTTGTATTGGTTGATTATGTTCTTGATGTGCTTCCATTGATGGCAAGCAATTTTGTAGTTCATAGTGTGCTCGAATGGTAATTTGTGGTTGTGGTTTTAAAGTTTGATGTGTATGTGGTTTTAATGATTCATTAGTATTTTTTACAATTTGTGATTGTATATAGAAGGATTTTGAAGTTTGTTTAAATGGTCATAGTTAATAGTGAAGTATGTCTTATACTCTAGTTAATACAGATTATATAGTTGATGTTGTTGAAAAAAAGGGAAAAGATAACAGCAAATTCTGGAAAACCATAGAAATGGACTGAAGAGTCGAATATAGACTTATATTCAACTCTTCAGGCATATGAGAGTCGACTATCAAGCAACAAGAGTTGACTCCCATATTCTAATAAGCAGGAAATATATTTGCTAAAGCTCATAGTCGACTCTCCATTATAAAGTCAACTCTTTTGGCTTTATAGTCGACTCTATAATGTGAAGAGTCGATTACCAAATTCCAGTATGCAGGAATTTTATTTGTTGTAGCCTATAGTCGACTCTCCATTATAAAGTTGACTCTTTTAGTTTTAAAGTCGACTCTATGATGTGAAGAGTCGACTACCAAATTCCAATAAGTACCATATTTTTTCCCTTAAAATAGTCGACTCTCTATGTTGAGAGCCGATTCTTAGTCCTTTACAGTTGACTCTACTATGTAAGATTGGACTCTTAAACTATGAGGCTTCATAAAGTAAAAGAATTTCATGCAAACTCTTAAAAATCAACATAGGAAATACTTAAAAATCATTAATAAATGTTGTAATGTCAAAATATACAAGATAATCATAAAAAAACAAGAGAAATTGGAAAAAAAATTGAAGAACATAAGTAAGATAATGATATTATAGTTCTTGAATGGATCGTAATTTTTTAATGGTAGCATCCTAATACTTTTTTTTAAATGTAAGACGCCTACCATTACCAAAAATCTTTGTAATTGTTTTGGAGAACTTAGCAGGGGTTTTGGGTGGATTTGACAAAAATGTTGATCAATATTGATTCGAGCAAATTTTTGCAATATGACCCTCACAGTTATACAGTTGACAAGTTACAGCATATCAGTGCAAGCAAACTGTAGCTAAATGTCCAAGAGTATCACATATTTGACAAACAAAGTAGTCTATAATATTAGGCAATGGAATGTGTTGGTCAGTTGATACATATTCTTTGCTTTTTTCAACTTCCTCTTGTGAAGACTTTGAGATGGGCAATTCCATAATGATTTAGGAGTATCCTCAATGATTCCTATGTAAAATAACATAAAGTTAAGTAATATGATAGTAAATGGGGTGCACAAAGGGGAAATGAGAAATAAGGGAAGAAAAAAAAATTATACCATTATATTGGCTGTCAAAATATTCTTGACTTTCCAATTGATTATCAAAATAATCTTGACTTTCCAATTGGTTGTCAAAATATTCTTAGCCTTCCAATTGGTTATCAAAATATTGTTGACTCTCCATTAAGCAACAGAAAAAAGATTTTTGAAATTTATAAAAATTATTACTTTTAAATTATAATATAAAAATAATTATGTGGGGATAAAAAAAGTGAATTGCAAGAGTAAGGGAGAAATAACAAGAAATTGAGAAGTGTGGGAGGTGTCTATATATTGGTAATGGAAAGGTGTATATATAATGAGTGATGAAGCTACCAGTTAAAGGATTTTTAGCAACAAGGTGTAATTATCTCACTTTCACCAACATATGAACCGATGTTGCTGATTAGTGGCTGGGAAGGGGTGCCCATTGGTAGTAATATGGTAAAATTTAGAAAATTTTAGTAACATGGTCCTTGTTGCTGAAAGTGATTTCAACACCAAGAACCATGTTGCTAAAGGTGATTTCAACAACAAGAACCATGTTGCTAAAAGTGGACCTCATTTTCGATGGGGAATGGTTGGTGTGTGGTGATCAGAAAATGTTAGCAACAAGGGGCTTGTTGCTAAAATTCACTTTCAGTAACGTACCCCTTATTGCTGAAAGTGGAAGTGGTGATGCTCCTCTATGATGGTTGGAAATGGTGTATATATATATTATAGCCTTGGCCAACCATCGGTCAAAGAATATCAACAACATATTCCTTGTTGCTGATGTTTGGTTGGTAAAAAGATAGGAATAACAGCAACAAGGTATATGTTGCTAATACTTAAGGTTTTCAACAACATAGCTCTTGTTGCTGAAAGTCACTTTCAACAACAAGGAACATATTGCTAAAAGGTGGAGCTCAATTAATTCCCAAAGAATTCACCGGAAAATATCAATAAGATGAAGTATGTTATTGAAAGTTACTTTCAGCAACAAAAAGTATATTGTTGAAAGTGGAGCAACCTTTTCTGGGTGAAGTGTACTGGACAACTTTCAGCAACATAGAGCTTGTTGCTGATACATATTTTCAGCAATAATCAATCCCATGTTGCTGATATATTGTTCCTAAAAGCCAAAATTTTAGTAGTGAACCTTGAAAACCAAAAAAAAAAAAAAAAAAAAAAAAAAAAAAAAAACTGCAATGATTACGCAGACATCCTATCAATCGACCTAGGATTCAATGAGAGATAATTTTCATTAATTACCAGAGCTATCATTAAGTAGCATGCATATTCCTGGGTAAAACCCTTTTAGCTACAGAATATTTTTGGTTAACAAAGCTACATAATCTTTATACAAAGATACTTCATGAAGCCAAATTTGCTTTTAATCAACTAAATCTCTACTTAATTATGGTAAGGTGAAAAATCTAATCTACGTTAATTTGATAATGAAAACAAAATTAATCATGTGTTTTTATCATTGGCAACAAACTGAATTAGGCAAGAGATATTAATGATTCTCCATATTAAATTAGGTAATGAATTGAAGCAACTTATTGATATAATAATAAATTAAGAGTTTATCTAACATGTGCTTTAAAGTTAAAGATGTAATAAATATATTTTTTAAATAATTTAAATAAAAAATAAAAATTAATTTTTATTTTAATATTAATGTCATGTAAATAGTTTTAATTAATTAGTTAATTAAATTTAAGTCAAGTTTTATAATTTTTTATATAAATTAATTATAAAAAATATACTTATTATATATTTAACTTATACCCTAAGAGTACAGGATAAAAAAATCATAAATTAATAAAAAAAATAATTGGCAAAACAACAACTTTTATAGTTTACTAGTGATTTTTTTTTTTTTTATGAAAGGCAAATTGAAACCCAAATATCCTATAATACCCCAGTATTTGAGTGATTAGATATAAAATTATTTTTAAAAACTTTTTAAAAAGAGAAACTTAGAAAACAAACACCCTCTAAAAGATGAAGGCAAAAAAAAAAAAAAAAAACCTCTTAATGATAATTTTTTTAATCTAAGAGAGCATATTTGGCCTAGGTAACACTTTTGTTACTTGTAGAATAAAAAATCATAAAATATCATTTTATAATTTAATACATTATTTTTTGGCTTAATTTAATAATTCATCTGCTAACTTTTATATTTTTTTCAGTTTCGTCTATTATCTTTGAATTCTTCCAATCTTGTGTACTATCTTTTAGATTCATTTCAATTTCGTCTAGTCTGCTATCTTTGACAGAAAACTTCCTATTCTATTATAGAACAGTTAGTCCTCTAACTACATTTTTTTTGATTTTTTAGTCCTCAAATTTATATTACTGTAAAAACAGCTTTTATACTTAAAATTATTGTTTCTTAGCTCTGATACCAAATTTTTCTACAGGTTTTCAAAACTTAACTCAGACTACTACTGACTAATGAATAGCTGGTATGTTAAGCTAGTAAGTGTAGAATTAGATCTACTAGACTACTAACAAGGATAATCTTTGCTTGGCCTTTTTTAATCTTTTTAGATCTTTATTTAAATCTGCAACTGTTTGCTTCAACTTTTTGAGATTCTTAGATAGATGATAATCATCTTCAATATTACTTATTTTTTCTAAAATTTTTACTATTTTATTTCTATAATATTCGTATTGCTACTCATAAACTATCTTATCTACAACAATTTCTTGAATAAAATCAAGCATCTTAAATTATAATAGTTTAATATAAAATGAATTTTTCTATTCAAAGTATAAGAGGTCAGGTACTATTTCCCCATCATTTCTCCTCTCAAAAATAATATAATGTTAAAGAATAATAAAGTTGTTTCTATGCTCACCTTGCTTCTGCATGATAAAATAAATGAGCTAGTATTTTACCTGAAAATCCTTTGAACTAGCCTTCAGTCAAGCGAATGCTTCCTTCGTCCAACCCTTAATGCCAAACTCAAGTTAAAATGGGTATCCGGACAGGACAACTGACTTTACTGCTGCCTCAATTTCTTTAGGATTTTTCTCATTTTATTTTATGATAGAAATAAAGAAGGATAGAAACACAAGAATTATTCTAAAACATAATTTTATTTTTGAGAAAAGAAAGGGGAAGTTCCCTTTCCTCTTGAAGGGTGTTAACAGATGAATAGTAAAAGGCTTTTAGATAAGGTATTTGGATATTTAAATGCCCAATACCTGTTACAGCTTATAGAAAGCTTTTTATAGCACTCCTTAGAATCTTTTCTTTTGCTATTGTTGACAATTAAAGCTTACATTATTGTCTAGTGATCTAGACTTACTTCTTGCTTTTGCTAAAGTAGATTACATAGAATCTTGCAAACGCTCTTCTTTTTCTTTAGTGACATAAGTGCTTATGTTTTTTTGCATTTGATTCTTCAGAGGATGATGAGATCCTCTTCACTGTCTGAAGGGGTGGTCCCTTCATCACATGGGGCTTCAGCTTTTCCTTTTATAGATTCTTTTTTATAGTAGAAACCACAATGGCTGTCATGCTTTAACAGCTTGCATAGTCTATTATGAATTGCTTTACTGGCTGGGACCAAATTTTCAAAGATTTCCTTTCTTTTCTACTTTATTTTAAACAGGTTGA